TTTCCGAAATGCGTATTCCGGAAACACAGATGGGGCCGTGCCATGTGCTATCCCCTGCATTGGATAGGTGGGCTCCATTCTGCAAGCGCACGCATGCACGCACACACACACGCACACACACACGGACACACGGACACACACACACACGGACACACACACACACACACAGAGGGAAAAATAATTCTAGGATCCCCTTGTAGGAACAAAATTCTTTATTGAATCACTAAAGGGTTACTTAAAGCAGATTTTTGCATTCCCCAGAATATTTAATTCGGCCACGATCGTATAAAATTTAGCGTTAAGGCAAAATACTTGAAAAATTGGACCAAACGCTCTTGGTCCTTCAGACCAGGCTGCCAAGAAGGCAAAAGGGAGCCTTATGGATCTGCGGGAATCTAGTAGCTGCTGCATCCAATAAACCAGCCTAGATCCTTCCCGTCTCAGAGTGAAGGAATGTCAGCCCCTCTCCAGTGATTCAGAGACAGAGAGGGAGAGAAATGACAGAGTTCTCCTTGATGGAGAAGTGAACTCTGCACATGCTCAGAGTACTCCATGCAGGAATACATACATACATACATACATACATACATACATACATACATACATACCCCGCCTATCTGGTCATTGCAAATTTCTGCAACCGCAAGTCCCCATATCTGCCAGCCAGGAGGTTTCCTGGAATAAACTTTTCACTCCTTGTCATTTCTTGGGTGTGCTCGTCTGCTGCATGCACACATCTCTGTGACCATGCGCACATCGCAACCAGGTCTGGGAAGTTGGGTTCTTCTCAGTCGCCTCCCCCCCCCCCACATGAAGCCTCTTGCCTCTTTCGCCCCTTTGGCCCCCAGATTCAAAGTCTGCGGGAAACCCTCTTGGTTGGCATGTGGCCCAAGAGAGGAGAGGCGGGCCATGATCCCGCAGCCCTTCCTCAGGCCCTGTGCTCCCTTTGGGGTTGCCCTTAGGCACGTCTGCCAGGGACCCATCCATATGCGTGACAAGCCCATTTAGCAGCATGTCTTCCCCAAGATGGTTGGGTTGATGGTGCCGTTGTTAGTTTTAAAACCATGCACTCACATTTGAAAAGGGAAGTTTGTGGCAGGTTGTGTGACGAAACTAATTAAGTTGTGGGTGAGATGAAGGAGACACAGAGATGACCCAAAGAGAGGTTTGCTTTTCTAAATGACAGCCACGAAGCAGAGTGAGAAAACATTGATTTGTTCATTCTCTCTCTCTCTCTCTCTCTCTCTCTCTCTCTCTCTCTCTCGGCTGTGGCCCTTTGTCTGAACTTTGGAGACCCTCTCCAAGATGCAGGATGCTCCCCCCCTGCAGTGATCATGGAGGCCAAGAAAGTAAAATCTGTCACTGCCTCCATATCTTCCCCTTCGATTTGCCAGGAGGTGATGGGACCAGTGGCCATGGTCTTAGTTCAGGGCTGGTGTGACTTATTTCACATCCAAAATTTGCAGATGCAATTTGTGGTGCATAACCCCTCCTCCCTCACACATTCTCTCTCTCTCACACACACATATAGGTTCAGCACCACAGGTTGCTTCAGTCGATTTTAGACATGAAATGAGTCATCAGCCTCCACTGAGTTCTGCAGCACAAAGACATTGGGGTCGGTCTTGATGTTTGCTCTCTCC